CTTGGAAAAATGGTATTTCATTGAAAGAGAAACTGCTTGATTTGTATAAAATGTGCTGTTAGAAACTGACTTTTCCAGAGAAGGAAAAACCTGCCTTTAAATGATCCTCTGATCCCTCCAGAGAACTTAATGAAGGCTTTAGCTTTTGGAAACATAAGAGAGAGCCAATGGGCCTCATGATTAAGATTTTGATGCTTCCTTACCTTTGCAGTAATGTGAAAGTCAATATATATTCCCTTATTTTTCTTTATTTATTGGCATATTCTGGCTATATCTGAAAAAGGATATTGAACCATTGTAGGTTGGTCAGACTCGTTAATTTGGAGGATTCAAAGTTTCAAAGTTGAGTAATTACTTTTAAGTAGTTGAATTGCAGGCCTAGGCACAGGAACACACTATGACCTTGAGGAGTTCATTTGCCACCTCTGGCGTCAATTTCTTTTCGGAAAAGCTGAGTCAGGGAACTAAGTCAATGGTTCTTCATGTATTTCTCTTTCACAACATCCATAAAGTTCATAACCACAAGAATTTACAATGGCCAACTTAAATTCCATTCACCTTCTTTCTTAAAGGGGTACATTAGAAGGCAGTCAAGGGGCTTCATTTTCACAAAGCTCTTGAATGGATCCCCTTGGATCCATTTAAAATTATCCAAATTTAAAATCTTTATTACTAGCAGCTATAATAATTTTAACAAAATTATTTGAAACCTTCCTTACTGTTGTTACATGTGCTGTAAATTATTGTTGATAATTCAGTGACTATTTCTAAAAACATTTTAGAACATCAATATTGAAAAATTGTGGTACTTGTTTGAGAACTGAAGAATACAGACGAGCACCGGCTTTGTGTGGACCTATTGCTAAAAGCCTGAAGACTTTTCCTATCTAACACGAGAGTGCTAAAAATATGTGGTTTCCATTATTTTAACTAAATTACTAAGTGGTAAATGGGGGGATCCACTGTTGGCCATTCCAGTTTGGCCCCATGCCTTGTATGCGTTTGTGAGGTCACAATAGGAAAACTGTTTTAAATCATTTGAATTTTGATGTTAAAACACAATCAAAGATCGATCATGTTTGCCTCTCCTCTATGCAATGTCTCTGATCACTTCATCCGAGTGTCCGTGTGTGTATGTGTGGGACAAAGGAAGCACAATGAGTCATGTGAGTCCTTGTGGAGGTCTGGAATGAAATACCCGAAAGCCAGTCACCTCCGGCTCCAATCCATAACCTCCACAGAATTGGCTGGCTTAGCTCAATATTCGCTGAAGAAATTTCTATTTGGAAGATGAAATTGAAGTGCACTTATAAATTGGTCTTCTCTGACAAAGAAAGAGATTTTTAGTGGTTTCTTTAAAAGCCATAAGTGGTTTCCCTAACTGGCAACAAATCATAGAGCACTATTCTCCAGCCCCAGCCAGGCTCCACAGCCTTGTGCATGAGATAAGATGCCTGATGATTTGCTGTTTTCGCCATTCTTCCTGTCTGACCTTATTGATTTTGAAAAAAAGAAAAGAAAAAATTTAATTGGCTAAAATTGATTGATCCAGGTGTCTGCGTAGATGGTTTCAGTACCACTTCGGCCATTATTTTATCACATACATTTCAGTATATGACTATACACTTCTATTAAATCTCGGCTTTGTGGCACTGCCAAAATCCTAATTGCGTACTTCCTGTTAGTCTCTAGTGGTAAATTCATGTGGTATGCTGTGTAACGGGGACCCTCCTCTCCCAGAGATGGAAAAGAGAGAAAGAGCTCAAATTTGGGTGAAGGCAGAAAATCAACGCAAAAGAGTAACAGTGTTTACAAGGAGCTTTCCTCGGTTATCAAGGAGCCCTGTCAAAGTCTGAGAGGCATGATAGAGACTGACAGTTTGGAATTAATCTCCATGTAGCTAGTTTGTCTAAATAAAGCAGTAGGAATACCAAATACACACACTACATGAGAATACCCTATGCAGAGCCTTTCAGTGCGTGTCCATAGCTCTTGTGTCATCGCCATTAAACAGACAATAGACAACTTACGGGAGAAATTAAATAGACAACTTACGGGAGAAAGTCATTTCAGGAAGTTCAGTTTATTGTGTTTGAAACAATGCGTCATAGAAAAGCAACTTACATTATGGTGGCCAGAAAGCAGAGAGAATAGGCAAGGTTTCCTAATGAGTTCATTCTCTCTAACACACTAGAGCTATGTTTTCCTAATATCCTAGATGCTACTCAGTCCAGTCAAGTTGAAGAGATTAACCATCACACAGCATTCTCTTATTTTTCATCGGACATATACCATTCATTTTCTCAAAAATCTAGATGACACTAGGATTTTCAAAAAGCCAGTATAGTTTTGGGCTAATTCAGCTGATTTTGCTCCAGATTCTGTTTGGCTTTAGAAATGGCTCACTAGGATTTTAGAATATTAGTACTGAGGTTAGTAGATACGAATAAAAGAATATTAGTACTGAGGTTAGTAGATACGAATAAGAGAATATTAGTACTGGTCAAAGAAGACAACTATTTGGGAGAGGTTTTTCTTATAAAATTCAACCTGCTAGGATTATAAAAATTAAGGTTGCATATAACCTGCTAAAAAGAATGTATGTCTAAGTTCTAAGCATTGGCTGTTTATTCACCATGGTATTTTAGATTCAGTGATTTTTTTTGTTGTTGTTGAAAACTATAAAATGGAACCACCTTTTTATCTGATGTTACCCAGTGAGGTGGAGTGAAAAACAGGGAGCATTTATCTGTTATTTTACAGCTTTTGCACAAATTATCTCGATTATCACTAGAGCGTGACTTTATGTGACTGGAATAAAATATTTTATGTCGTGATTAGGGTTTCTATTGCTGTGATGAAATTACCATGGCCAAAACATCTTGGGTAAGAACAGGTTTGTTTAGCTCATGCTTCCACAGCGCTGTTCAGCACTGAAGGAAGTCAGGACAAGGACCCAACCTGAACAGAAGTAGGTGCAGAGGCCATTCAGGGCTGCTGTTGACTGACCTGCTCACAGGGCTTGCTCAGCCTGCTTTCTTATAGAACTTGGGACCACCAACCCAGACCTGGCACCACCCACAATGGGCTGGCCCCTTTCCCATCAATCACTAATTAAGAAAATACCCTACAGGTTTGCCTACAGCCCCATCTTGTGGACACATTTTCTCAGTTAAGATTCCCTCCTCTCAGATAACTCTAACTTGTGTCAAGAGAACCTAAAACTAGCCAGCATGCCTTATCTACCATTGCTTCTCAAACACGATGCATACTGAGTGGACCAAATTGGGGACTCAATAAGTACTTGCTGAATGAGTGATTGAACTACCCTATAATATAGAGCATATATTTTGCCCCATCCATTTTGTAGGGGAAGTGCATTGCAGAAACATTCAGTGACTTGCTCCAGGTCATGCAGCCAATTAGTAATGCTGCCAAGGCTGGAGGCCATCGCTATAGATTCCAAAACCTCAAGGGAGACTATACTTTCAGGGATTATTTCCATAGCTCGTTAAAACCTGAAGGTTTCCCCCACCCCCCAGGTGATTTTAAGGATTTATTTAAATGATGTGCCTCTGGCACTAAGTGATAAGACACCACAATTTCCCTGGGGTCTACTTATCCTATCTATCTATAAAATAAAAGAAGGCATGGCTAGATGAGTTAGGTTCTCAGCTGGACTGATAACATGGGATTACTTTACAATATCATGTATAATATTAGTCTTGCACCTGAGAGCAGTATACCAAAGAAGGGGTGCTAAAGATGGAGGCCAGTGAACCTAGATCTATCAGGTAATTGAGAGCAAGGAAGCCCAAGGACCACTGTCACCGATACATTTCTTTTGTCGTTTGTTTTTCAAGACAGGGTTTCACTGGTTGTAGCCTTTGGTATCCTGGGTCTCATTCTGTAGACCAAGCAGGCCTCAAGCTCCTAAGTGCTGGGATTAACTGCATGTACGTACCACCACCACAAACTGACTGACAGAAACCTTTTTTTTTGTTTGTTTTCTTGGGGTTTTTTTGTTTTGTTTTGTTTTTCAAGATAGGGTTTCTCTGTAGCTTTGGAGCCTGTCCTGGAACTAGCTCTCGTAGACCAGGCTGACCTTGAACTCACAGACATCTTCCTGCCTCTACCTCCCAAGTGGTGGGATTAAAGGGTGTGTACCACCACTGCCTGGCAACAGATACATTTCTTTCTTAATAGTGAGAGAAAACTGCCAACTGGAACCTCCCCTTAGTAATCCTTTTGCTGGTAGGTTTAGAGTGCAAAAAGGCTCTGGCGAAATTCTGATTGTCATCAAACAACTATTCTGGAAGCTTTCTGCCCCTAATGAGTTTGTTAATCAGCTAATTCCTCTTGCCCCCCCTTCACCACTGGCGCATGGCATGCCAACTTCACCCGTGTGCTCCGTGTCTGTTAGAGGTCAGTAGATAAGCTTTTGTAATGAATTCATTGGAAACACACTCCTTTGCTGTACATGCCAGTAATTTCAGAGATGAGTTTCAAATTTTTACTTCAGTGAAAGAAAAGCCAGCTGTAGATAGCGGTAGCCGCAGATCCTTAAGCTTCATTTGCGGCAGCTCTGCAAGTGTTCACTTCACTTACATTTGAAGCTTTTTTTTTTGTCTTTTCAGAATTGAATTAGTCCCGACAACCTAGAGTGACACATTGTTTTCCAGAAAAACCAAGTAAGAGTAGAAGGCTCTTGTAAATTCCTGCCTCTAGTTTCCTTCAGCCAATAGCTCATTTAGAATCTATTCAAATGGAAGATGTCAAGAGCATTTAGTCTGTTGTACTTGCCTTGGTTAGCATGGCATAATCCAGCTATACAATGACGGACAGAGGAAAACTCAGCTAGAATTAGAGATGTCTTATACAACTGTGAACGGGGGCTACTACAATTTACTCAGCAGAAAGAAGCACTGTGGACACTCCCTCCCCTGCAGAACATAATTCCAGCGTTCAGGATTGACCAGATCCCATTCTCTGTCACTTACCGGAAATTTCGAACCACGGAATTGTGACCCTTTCTAAGGGTTGCATTGTTGAACAGGATCCTCAAATTAGACAGCATCTTCTTTTGCTCGTGCGAAGGAGGAGATTTCTGCTCTGGAGAGCTCCTGAGCCAGTCAGGTAGTGGGGGCCACTGGCAAGCTGAGAATGCTTTCAGTTGAAGAGAGGGAGCAAAGGTCCTAGCACCTTATCAGATCAGCCTGCTTAGAGACAGCCAGGCCAGGGTGCATGCGGGGCCACTTGAACTTTAAGCCTAACTCTGGTGTTGTTTTTTAAAGAAAAAAATCCTAACTCTTTCAGAGCCCAAGCTCTTCGTTTTTTCATAATGTATTTATGCTGTCACTTGCTTGTATAAAATCAGTTGACAAGTATCCATTGAGCATGTAATATATGCAAGGCACTGCGGTGCTGGCTGTTGCGAAGGGACACAGAAATAACTCATTCAGAAAATGGGAATTGGCAGCACAAAACCCCAGATGGAGATATGACAGCCCTGAGAATTCCTGTTGATTTCGCTTTCTTACCTGCCACTCCCAGCCTTTCCAAAGAAACAAATAGAAAGAGGGTCGACTGGAAGTTGGGTTTCCATGGCAAAACGCATAGAGGCATAGAGGTATAATGAAAAGATCTCAGTCCCAGGGTTCCTTTTATGTCTTGCACATAATAGACCTTTAATAAATCAGTAGGCATTTATTGATTCTGGTATGAGCTTACATCGAGCACCAGTGACTCCCCCAGCAACTCCCAGGTCACTGAGATCTGCAGCTTCACATCCGTACATTTATCCATACCTTGAAATTGACTGGTTTCAAATTCTCATCTGTGTCAGACAACAGGGTAGACTAGAATTTCAAAATAGGAAATGATCTCATCACTGCAGAGCTTAAGATTTCAACAACCGTGATAGCATTCATAAATAATATTTCTGGTGTACGTCCATTTGGAAGATTCAGATAAAGTTGTTCTGCATAACACAAAAGTGGAAAACATTTAAGCCAGGAAGGCTGGAAGACAATGGGGGGAGAGGCAGCTGTCTCCTCTTGTCAATTCATATGACTTAGCAACCCCTGGTAGGCACCTGCTAGAAGTTTGTAGAATACCACAAGTAAACGTCATTTGAAAGTCAGCTATGGCTACTTCAGGAACAAACACGGTTATGAGAGCATCATTGATATTGGCAAGGAAATAAATCTTGACTCTTCCCTTCTACTTATGGAGAATGATTTCGGATGAACAGGGGGGAAACTGAATTTCCAAACTTCTGCTAAATCTTATGTTCTGGAAAGAGCGCTCCAGACAGAAGCAGTGGTTTGTAAACGCACAGTACAGAAGGCAGAGGGTGAAAGTGCCGAGGAGGAGAGAGGATGGCTGTGTGTTTGAGAAGACAGTGAAGCATCTTTGCGGCGGAAAGGCAGGCCAGCTGGACAGGTCTGAGGGACTAAAACTATTCTTAGAATACACGGAGGGGAGGGGATGCTGGGCCAGATCCTGAAGAGCATATGCCACTAGAAAGCTCCGAGCTTCACCCCAATATTGTTAGAAATTTGTGCCATCCACACAACCAACTCATAGGTGCAGTGTTTGGGCAAAATGCAAGACTTTAGGCTACAGAATGTGGGCAGCATTTCAGAAAGTAAGTCACCAGCCCTTCTAATTGAAGGAAGTAGAAGCTCAGAGTGGGAGAGGGCTAAGAGAAATTGAAGTTACCACAGAGACTGGGTTAGAGGCCCCGCACCACAGTTGGGAGGGTACTAAAGGCTATTTCCTTGACTCTCAAAATGAAGCTATGTCAGTGGAATGGAGAGGTACATCTCAACTAGGCCGACTCTGATTGCATCACACACGGAGGGCTTTTTTTTTAACCATTTAGGCTTTGTGCTTGTATAAGTTATTTGTCTCATTGTTGCCACAAAAACCCCTTCACCATACTCACAAATAATGTCCACTTTATAGTTCAAGCTTTCTGCTTGAGAATATGTTCCTCATTTTGGTCCCTGCCCCTTATATGAGCCGAGGTAAAGTATGTTCAATGCATGCCTCTTTGTTGTTGTTGCTGCTGTTTGTTCTTTTTTTTCAAGACAGGGTTTCTCTGTGTAGCTTTGGGGGCCTGTCCTGGATCTAGCTCTGTAAACCAGCCTATCTTTGAACTCACAGAGATCCACCTGTCTCTGCCCCCCGAGTGCTGGGATTAAAGGCATGCACCACCACTGCCTGGTCTACAGATGCCTCTTAACAGTCTTCACTAGAATTCATTTAATTTCCCTTATAGCCCATGGCAAGTTGGCCATCAACATATGTCGTATCAGTGGCTCTCCTGACTCATTTTCCTTCTGTCCTGCTTCTGCTTTCTAAGATTTGTGCTGGCTGATTTCATGTCAACTTGACACGAGCTAAAGTCATCTGAGAGGAGGGAACCTCAATTAAGAAAACACCTCCATAAGATTGGGTTGTAGGCAACCTGTAGAGCAGTGGTTCTCATCCTGAGAACCCCTTTGCAAACCTCTATCTTAAAAAATATTTACACTACAATTCATAACAGTAGCAAAATTACAGTTCTGAAGTAGCAACGAAAATAATTTTATGGTTGGGGGTCACTGCAATTGGAGGTATTAAAGGGTTTAAGCTTTAAGAAGATTGAGAACCACTGTTGTAGAGCACTTCTTAATTAGTGATTGATGAGGGAGGGCCCAACCCACTGTGGGTGGTGCCATCCCTGGGCTGGTGGTCCTGGGTTCTATAAGAAAGTAGGCTGAGCAAGCCACAAGAAGCAAGCCAGTAAGCAGCACCTTCCATGGCCTCCGCATCAGCTTCTGCCTCCAGGTTCCTGTCCTGCTTGAGTTTTTGTTCTGACTCCCTTCAATGATGAACAGTGATGTGGAAGTGTAAGCCGAATAACAGCCCCCCAACTTGTCTTTGCTCATGGTGTTTCATCATAGAAATAGAAACCCTAACAAGACCGATCTCTTTCTATATACATAAAATAAAAATAAAATAGATAAACTTTTAAAAAGATTACGAATTTGAGCTCTGAATAAATAAGTTACATTTTTGTAGTAACAAGTACTGATTTATTTCAGTGTTACTAGGTGCATAAATAATTCTATAGCATGTTCTCTTTCTGATTTTTAGAAATCACAGCTAGACAGATGGCTCAGTGGTTAAGAACATTCCCTGCTCTTTCAGAGGACCCAGTTTCGTTTTCCAGAACCCACTTTGGATGGAGTTGCTTCTAAGTTCAGCTTGAGGAAAGCCAACACCCTCTTCTGGCATCTGTAGGAACACACACACACACACACACACACACACACACACACACACTTCACATACTCACACATGCACATGGCATACATTCACACAGACACAGACATCTTCTTACATACATACATAATAATAAATATTTAAAGAGCCTTAGAAGTCACAGAATTTCATACAGTACATGTCTAGATCTTATAAGTTTTGTGAAATTGTTGAGGGTGATATACCTGAAGCTGAATTTGAACAAATGGGCTTATTTTGCTGTCTGAAATGAGCATACATCATGTGAGCAGGACGGGAAGCAACCTTAGAATGAGGTTGTGATTGGCAGTGTTAGAAGGTGGGAATGGATCTTAGTCTTTCATGACCTTATTAAATTTCAACACCATTCAACCTCATGACCTTTCCTACCACCAAATCCCCTTACAATCTAAAATAATAAATGTCTTTACTATTTAAAGCATTATGAAATTGGATTTTTTTTAAAAAAATTGTGCACTGGTAGCCAAATGCCAACAACACAAAATTAGCTTAGTGTTTGAAGGTTTATTTCTCCTGTAAGAACAAAGAAATAGCAAAATCCTTCCAATAGGTATGGATTCTGGTTCAGATCCACATATATTGGTTGAATAACCTTGAACAGGTAAGTTTCTTTACTTGCTAGTGGAAAACAATACTTAAAGAATTTTATTTTTGTTTAAATTGATGTATTTGATCTTTAAAGACTTATTTAATTATTAATTATGTATGTTTGTGAGTATGCATGTGTACACACATATATCTGTGTGCATGCATGAGCACATATGCAGACACCCATGAGGATCAGAAGATAATGTTGTATCTTCTGGATCTGGAGTTACAGATTGTGAGCTAACTGATGTGGATGCTAGAAAGTGAACTTGGGTCCTTTTTAAGAGCAGTATGTACTTTTAACCCACTGAGCCAGCCATATCTACAAACTGATATGTTTTGTTATTGATAAATATTGTAAATTAGTATATCATAATCTTAACTTTTTTCTGTGTTTACATGAATTTTAAGACGTACCTAAAATTGAGAGGAGACTATTGAAGTGTCCCGTTATATTACTGTGTAAATTGCACAGATTAGATAACCACCGCTACATCTGGGGCACAGACTTGTTCTAACAACCAAAGACTACCTTTGAAATGAACATGTAATCACATTCTCTTCTCTCCTAAGCCACGAAATATTAATCTTTTCTCTCTTTCCTGCAGTTTTTCTTTTTCCATAATACAATATAAACAGAACCATATAGGATAAACTCTTTTGAGACCGACTTCTTTCAGTCAACATGACGTCTCTGAGATTCATCATTTATCCATATTATTATACTATCACTATGATATTCCTTTTTATTAAGCAGTATCTCTCTGTGTGGATATATCAGTTTATTTCCCTATTTCTTCCATTATGGAACATTTCTGTTATCTCTTGTTCAGAGAACTTGCCAATAGATCTTCTGCAACCATCTATGTATAGATTTTGGTAAAAATATAAATACTATTCATTTAGGTTAAACACCTATAAAATATGGCTTCGTTACACAGTATATGTGGGCTTAACTTTTGAAGAAACTGTCAGTGTTTTCTAGGAATATTACATGATTGCAGCATCATAAAGAATTCAAGAAAGGTCTAATTGCTACACATCCATGTCAGCAATGGTATTCTCAGTATTTTTTCATGATTGCCATCCTAATTTATGATAATAATTTGCATTTCACTAAAGGAGAATAATGTCAAGAAATTTTCCCTGTGATTAGTTGTCATCCCTATATCCTTTTTTAGAAATATAGGTTCAATGGCGGTTCTGTTGAACTTGTCCATAATGGGTTTCATAAGTTGATGAGGACGACTGACCTTCCTCAAGAGGGCA